GTGTGAAAACCCACTTGAGGATTTGGCGGGAAGAATGATTTTCAACATGTACGGGCATTTGCAGGGGAGGGTGGGCGCTGGAGATGAAGGGGGCTTTCTGCCGGCAGGGCCCTCGACTGATCACGTGGTCACTGCTGCAGTCTGGGGCATGGGTGGGCAGGCGGGGAAGCAGGCCTGGCCGAGGGCCGGGTCGGCAGGCACCGAGTGGTGGGAAGCACCTCTGCTCCGGCTGGGCCTGTTCGTGGGAGTGGACGCCGCGCCCTTGGCCTCTGCTCTTCACCCTGTGTGGGGCCTGCGAGGCCTGGCACTGGGCCGGACACCTTGTGGTACAGGGACACAGAGATGCACCGGCCGCGTCCGCCACCCGGGGACCTGGGCTTTCCGGGGAGGCAGGCCCTCCGCCGGACCACTGTGATGAGTGTGCTGGCTGCTCCCTCGAGGGCCGCACCCGCTGCCCGGGGTCACAACTGCCCCCCAAATGCCCCAAGCCTGTTCTTTTTTTCCGGTAACTGCATTTGGAGAGCGTATATTCAGATGTCAAGCTGCCAGTCATAGGGAGAAATACTTTATTTGAATTGGATGAAATTTGAACTAGAGGTCATGCTGTTCAATCAAAATGTGTGGTCTTGATTCACTGTGCCTGTCGTATGGTTCCTGTGTGCTGGAGAGTTTAAAACGTGGGCCGGGAGCCTCTGACATCCAGAGGGAGGGAGAAGGGGTGGCTGAGCGAGGGGGTGGGCGCCGGGCAGGGGGTGCTGAGGTGTGGGCGGGGGCCGCCCCTCTCCTGCTCTGCCCCCATTACAGCCCCACTTGCCGTCACGGGCCCAGGGCTCTGGCAGTGCAGGCTGCTCACCCTGCACGCCCACTCCTCCCAGTGGCAGGAAGGCAGAGGGGCTGCAGACCGAGCCGCGGGGGACTGCGGCCAGGCTGTGGTCGGTGACACTGACGGTGAGGGTCCGTCTGTGTTCCGGAGACAGTGCTGGACGTCGGGGTTGGGAGGGCCACGCTCCACCCCTCCGAGCCCCCTGCGTGGAGACGGGCTGCTGGGGGTAGTTCCGAGTCCTCGCTCGTCAGGGGGCAGTTTCAAACCCGGGTTGGGAGGCCACGTATTTGGAACTGTGCCTCAGGGATCGGGTAGGAATGGGCCTTTGCTGGACTCCAGGACTGTCACCCCATCTCTTGGTCAGGTTACCCATAGGGCCTTTGGGAAGCCACGGAGGGCAAGGGTCCTGTTCCCAGAGCTGTGCACACGGCCGGCACCTTGCTTCACAGATCCCAGAGGCCATCTGTGGACCCACGCCTAGTGACTTTGGGTGACACATCACCCCAGCCCTGCCATGGCCCGGCGATGAGCGGTCACACCTGGCCCCCGCCTGGGGGCCTGCCTCTCTCTCTTCCTGGAGTCTGGCACAGAGAAGGGCCTCACGCACCTTCTCCGAGTGACTGGCATGGAGGGTGCGGCTTCCTTGCCTGGGCCTGTGGTTCTGGCATGTGCAGATGGGCACCGCGTTCTTTCTCCACCCGTGGCCCTGCCATTCAGGAGTGCTGCGCGCCTTTTGCTGGGTCATGGCAGAGCAGAGGCTCAGTAGCAGGGGCAGCCTCAGGCTTCTGGCCAGAAAGGGGCAGTGGGACTGGTGGAGGAATCGATGAAAATCTGATGAATACACAGTCTGGGTGTGACGGGGTCTTATCCGTGGGGCACAGGGCAAGCCCAAGGTGTTAGGAAGGGTGTGGGCACCCCTAGGCAGTGGTGCTGGGCCGTGGGTGCATCCGCCATGTGTGATGCAGTAGCTTGCACTTAGTAGGTGCTCAGGAATGGCTGTTGAATGAGCGGATTGGTGGGTGGAGAGAAGGTTGGATGACCCGTGCACGGATGGGTGGGTGGGTGGGTGGCGGCCGGGTGGTGGATGATGCATGCCTGGACAGATGGGTTGGTTAGTGGATGAGGAAGAGCTGGGCTCTGCCTTCAGTGAACACGCTCACGTTTTCTCCCTCCCTGGGTCCTGAGACCCGTTCCCTGCTGAGTCCCTCTTGGCCTTGTGGCCCACCCCCCACTGGATCTTCCATGTGTGCCGTCCTTGCCCCCTGTTCAGAAATACTGTCCAGGATACGCCGGTCTTCTCGTTGTCATTTTCATGTATACGCCACCAGGTTCCCATGCTTCATCCCCCTGGGACCTTCGCAGCCTCTTAACTCCTTCAAACCCCGCCCTGCCCTCAGGACCTTTCCTGAACACCCCTTCCATGGATCATAAGTCTTTAACGCTACTTACTGAGCACCTTCACTACACAAGGAGTTGTGCCTGGAGGACTTGTAGCCTCCACAGCTCGGTGAGGTGGATATTACTGTTTTACGCCCATTTTTCGCAGAGAAAGAACCGGGCTCAGAGAGGTGAGTGGACTCACTATGGGCCACACGGCCGGAAGGTGGTTGTACAGAGCAGCTCCTCCCCCACGCGCCCCGGCTGTTGGGATTCCCTCTGCCCTTGGCAGCTGGCTCATGGAGCAGGTTGTCCCCAGTGTGTCCAGGGCTCAGGCTGTCCATCCATCCAAGTGCAGCAGCAGAGGAGAGGAGCCCACAACCCGATGACCAGCGTGTGCGCACACAGCCCCGCCCAGCACCCCGGCACCAGGGCCCGAGGGATGCAGACTGACCCGCCAGGGTCAGGAGCACACGGCAGGAGGCCACCCCGGAGCCTCCAGGGGCTGCAAGGCAGAACGTAAGGGTCTTCCCGGAAGAGGGGAAGCTGGCCTCGGGCCCCAGGCCCAGAGAGGGGCCTCTGCCTGATGGAGCAGAGGTGTAGGATAATCCGTGGCAATGTGCAGCCCTCCGGGTGCAGCCCGGCCACCTGGACCCCACGACCCACCAGTGATGGCTTCACAGTGGCCTCGGGGCCCGTCCTTTACTGTTACTCATAAAGTCTGGAAAAAGAACACGCTCGGCCGGCAGCAGCACTCCGAGCTCAAGGAGCCCAACTCCCGGCATAGCCCCACTTACCCCGCGTGGGGCACCCTCTCCGACGACAGAGTCCAGCGTCCTGTGTTTTTCCACGTTCTTTTTCCTCCCTGAGAGCTCATCAGGTCCTGTAGTGATGGGGACCCACCTGCCGTGTGACCGTGACACTGGGCAGGTGGCCTCTCAGGTGCAGAATGGGGATTAAAGGGCATCATTTATAGGGTACCTGCGGGCACAAAGTGGGCGATGCCGTGTAGCTTCTCTGTCCAGTGCTGGATCTCCAGTAAACACTGTCTACACGAGTCATTAATGAGGCGATTACTGTACCAGTCAGTTTACATGCATCTGATTGGGGCCAAAGCCCTTCTGCCAGGGGGACAGCGGATGTTTGATAAAGGTTATGAGACCTGCTTCTTGCTCATAGCAGCCCTGTCGTTTTTTCCATTTTCTACACAGCATGATGGGAGCAAAGTGGAATAAAATGTTCGTATGCTTTCCTGAGCTGACATAGTGGCACTGTCCACTGTCAGAGGGATGGCTCAAGAAGACCAGAGAGCTCAGTGGTTGTGGGTCCGTCCACGTGTGGCAAGTGTCAGTACGTCCTTCCCTTTTATGGCTGAATAATATTCTCTCATACGGACCACACCTCATCTGTCCATTCACGCACACGTCTCTCTGTGTGCACGAGGGCAGTTCCCACTCTTGGCTGCTGTGAACAGGGCTGCAGTGAATGTGGGTGTGCATGGGCTTGAGTCCCTGTTTGCAGTTCTCCCTTGGGTGAACTGATTTGGGTGAATTGTTTATGCACCTGGGTTAGTTCTCAGCATTGGAATTGATGGGTCATAAGGTTGCTTCTTTTAAAATAAACCCCGCCTCCCACGCCTGTGGTAGGGGGTGATAGGAAAGGAGACGCGGTACTCCCAAGCCCTCAGAGTTTAGGGTTGAGGCTAAATGTATCTCTCACAGGAGACAAAAGCTCTGAGCACTGGGTTGGCACCTGACAGGTGCTCATCAGGTGTCTGAATGGATGGGTGGATGGCTGGGTGGGTGGTTGGATGGATGTGTGGGTGGGTGGGTGGATGGATGCTTGGGTGGGTGGATGGGCGGGTGGATGGATGGATGGATGGATGGATGGATGGATGGATGGATGGATGTTTGGGTGGAGGGACAGGTGATGGAGGGCTGGATGGATGGATAGATGGGTGGGTGGATGGATGCGTGGATGGATGGATGGATGGGTGGGGGGATGGGTGGATGGATGTGTGGGTCGGTGGATAGGTGCATGGATGGGTGGGCTCCTGAATTCCAGTTGCAGTTCTACCGTTTGAAGTGTGTGTGTGTATGGAGGGATGGACAGATGGGTGGATGGATGGATGGATGGATGATGGATAGATGGATGGATGAATAGATGGATAGATGGATAGATGGATGGATGGATGCATGGATGCATGGATGAATAGATGGATGCATGAATAAATGGATGGATGAATAGATGGATGGATGGACGGATAGATGGATGGATGGGTGGTGGATGGGTGGATGGATGTGTGGGTTGGTGCAAAGGTGCATGGATGGGTGGATGGATGGATGGATGGGTGGGTGGGTGCATGGATATGTAGATGGATAGGTGACTGGGTGGGTGGATGGATGGATGGGTGTATGGTGGGTGGGTGGTTAGGTGGATGGGTGGGTGGATGGCTGGCTAGATGGGTGGCTGGCTGGATGGGTGGGTAGGTGGATGGATGGGTGGGTAGATGGCTGGGTGGATGGGTGGCTGGGTGGCTGGATGGGTGGGTGGATGGATGGATTCATGGGCAGATGGATGGGTGGATAGGTGTATGGATGGGTGGATAGGTGGATGGGTGGGTGGATGGATGGATCAGTAATGCCTGGATGGCCGGGTCGCTTGAATGGCTCTTGGAGGTAGCAGCTCCCCCAGAGGAGGCCTGGCCCCAAGGACAAGCTCTCAGGCATCAGGCAGTTCTCCTGGGTCCCCACGTGGGTGCCCTCTGTGCTGCCTGTTCAGGGCTTTCGTCCTCTTCCAGGGAGACATCCAGCAACTGCTCTTCGTCTCGGACCACCGGGCAGCTTACGATTACTGCGAGCACTACAGCCCTGACTGTGACACTGCGGTCCCTGACAAGCCCCAGTCTCAGGACCCCAATCCCGATGAATATGTGAGTCCTGGTGGGAGCCGTGGGCAGACCGTCTGGGGGTGCTGGGCGTGGAGGGACACAGAAGCTGTGGGACTCCCGTTTGAAGCAAACCCACTGGGTGAGACTCTAATTGATCCCTGGGGCAAGGTGGACTCCTGACTCACTTTACGAAGGGTTCTGTGCTCCCAAAGCAATGGAGTCAGAAAGGATGTTGGTAAAGAGATCTTTCACCCAAGTTTCTGGGTGAAGAGAGCCATGCGCCCTCTGGACCAACACCTGGGTGGGGTGCTGTGAGCGGAAACGCCACAGGTGTCCCCGGTGGGCCGTCTGAAGCTCGCCAGGTAGGAGGGGCTCAGGGCTGTCGGAGCAGAATGATGGTCCCCTCTGACCCCTAGGGCGGCAGCTACTCTGAGGGGCAGCCTCGGCCCGAGAGTTTCAGGAGCGTGTCCAACGCCACTGTCCTCTGGCCGTGACCCGTGTGTCTGTGGGTCAGCCTTTCCCATCCACCCTCCCTCACGCCTCAGCAGCACCTCGGTTAATTGGATTTGCAGTTCTTTGTACCATTTCCAAATGAGAATCCCCTCCCATCCCCTGCGCAGTTGGACTCCTGTTTCTTTTAAGTAAAATTCAATCCTGCTCTCTATTTTTTCTCTGAGCTTCCCTTCTTTCACGAGCAGTCAGAAGAGAAGGAGGGGGGCACCTCATGAAGCTGTGGAGTCCTGGGCTAGGCATGTCTTTCCCACCCCGAGAACAGGGTGGGCAGTGCTCCCAGCTGGCTTGCTGCAGCCGAGGCCTCCTGGCCACGCCCCACCCTCCCCATGCCCGATACAGAAATGGGTCTGAGGGTGAGACCATCTCTGTTGCTGTGAAGTCCCTCCCGTGAGGCCTGGGCCTTCGGTGAAGGTCGGGGAGGGCCCTCGGTTTAGCTGGTTGTCCTGGCCCTCGGGTGCCAAAGGGTCAGAACGTTTGGACCTTTTAGGGCTCATCTCTCTTTGAAGGCCACCGGGGGTCCCAGTTCCCTTCCCTGGACTCCTCGTGGGGCTGGCTCTGCTCCCCCAGGGGATGGAGGGGGAAGGCTCCTTTCAGGGCCCACGGGGTTGGTGCCTGGAGCTGGGCACGACTTTCCCAGTTGAGCCCACGAAGGAGGGAGATGGCGGGCTGGTATCTCGGGGTGGGGGGCCCGCGCCCTCCTCACGTGGCCCTATTTGCTCTCAGTACCCGGAAGGAGAGGGTGAAGGAGACACCTATTACTACGAGTACCCCTACTACGAGGACACGGACGACGTGGGCAAGGAGCCCACCCCCACCAAGCCACCAGTGGAAGCTGCTCGAGAGACCACGGAGGTGGCTGAGGTCTGGCCAGGCGGCTGCTGGTCCCTGGAGGCCGTGGTTGGCGGGGGGGGCCGGGGGCGTCGTGGCGAGCACGGGGGCCGTTTGGAGATGCGTGGAGAGCAGGGGCAGTGGGCGGGAGCTTGGCAGGGAAACGGGGGACCAGGGACCATAGGTGCTTTGTCCTCACGGAGAGTGTAGGGCAGAGGGCTTTCCGTGGTGCGGGGGACTCCAGGGGACGTGGATGTGATGGAATCCAGTCCCCTCCCCAACGGGTGGCCGGGACACTGGCCCATGAGGCTCTAAGAGTCTGGAATGTTCTCTTGCTTTTTTTTTTTTTTTTGGTCCCCTTCAGGAAGAATTAGGTAAAGGCACATTGGCACTATTAATCAGGAGCAGACTTAAGGCAGAACCACAGATCATTTAAAAATATTTAGAAAATGTAAGCAAAGTACAATTTGTTATGAGTAAAATTCATGTTAATCACTAAGAAAATGAAGCATCCTGCTAGATGCTGTGGCTTACGATCTTAGTTCCCCAACCAGGGATTGAACCCAGGCCCTTGGCAGTGAGAAGGCGGAGTCCTAACCACTGGACCGCCAGGGAATTCCCTGTTCTCTTACTTCTTAAAAAAAATTTGAGATATAGTTCACCCTGTCCAAGTGTACGATCGCGGGGTTTAGCCGTGCACAGCACTTCCGCGGGCTGGGCTGTCTCCCCTGGCCCGAGGGGGCCCCTGCGCCCCGATCCACAGGGGCCGGTTGGTTGATGGGTCAGCCTCCCTCTCAAGCCGCAGAGGAAAGCCCCGACCCGGTCCCCGCTGCGCCGGCCGCACCCCTAACCCTGCGTGTCTCTGCCTGGCTCCCAGGAGCTGACCCAGCCCCCCACGGAAGCCCCTCCGTTGCCCGACACCAGTGAGGGGGCCGGGAAGGAGGAGGACCCCGGCATCGGAGACTACGAGTACGTGCCCAGTGAGGACTACTACACCCCACCCCCTTACGAGGACCTCAGCTACGGCGAAGGCATCGAGAGCCCCGACGAGAACCCCGACCGTTCCCCCGACCAGGGCGCCCGGGCCGAAGTTCCCACCAGCACGGTCCTCACCTCCAATGCCTCTAACGTAATTGCCTTCTCAGCGAGTGGGCTTGGTCCAGGGGAGGGGGCTGGACCCCGGGCTCTTCCTTCTCTACTCCTCACTTTGCTGTCCTGGGGCAGCTGCCCTCCCCCTGCCCACTACAACTGGCCCTGCAGCCCTTTGCAGCCAGGCCGTTCTAAGTGATCGCCGAGGATGCCCGGTGAGTTTGCAGTCACTGCCTTGCTGGGTGGATCTCAGTGTTGTCAGTTTTTCATCAGCAAGATGGGTGGAATGAGCCCCGCCCTCCGGGTCTCTTGGCGTTCGGCGGAGACGGATGAGGACATGTGTGTTCTCAGACAGTGTTCCTGTCTGGGGCCCGGGTGAGGGCAGGCCAGACAGGTACATGAGCTGGGGGTCTGGACAAGCAGACCAGACGTGAGGCCCGGTAGGACCATGGGCTTTCTCATCAGGCAGACCCGACTTGAAATCTCTGCCAGTGACCTTGGAAAGTGACATGCCCTGTCTCAAAATCAGTGGTCTCATTTACAACCTGGCACCAGTGTTCCCCGCCTCTTGGGGCTGTTGCCACGTCTTCAGACTGGAGAGGAGTTGAGCTTAGCCCATGGTCCATAGGGAGTGCTTAAAAACAGCCGTCGTGTGATGCTGAATTCTTGACGGCCACAGAGCAGACACACGGGGTTCTGATGGGTCCGGACCCCTCTGGCAGCGGGCATGGGATTAGGGGCTTGTTACCCCGAGACCCTGGGCCTTGGGTGGAGCCCCTGGTGGCCCCAGGTTCCCCAAGTACATGGTGCAGCCTGGTGCCGCGTGCCCATCCTTCTGCAGCCCTGATTTGCCACGGGGTCTTGGGGGCTTTGGGGTGAGTCTCCCCGTCGTGAGAGGGAGACGATGACTCCCAGCAAGTGAAGCCCCAGGCTACCTGTGTTCTGTGACCTCGGATGCCACAGTGCTAGGAGTCCGGGGCCTGGGGGCCTGTGCGTGTCCGTTCCTCTGGGTGACCCCTGCCGCCTTCCCTCTCAGCCGGATCTGCCTCCCGAGGAGGGGATGGACGACTTGGAGGGAGAGTTCACAGAAGAAACCATCAAGAACCTGGACGAGAACTACTACGACCCTTACTACGACCCCACCATCTCCCCGTCGGAGATCGGGCCGGGCATGCCCGCCAACCAGGATACCATCTACGAAGGGGTGAGTGGCTAGGGAGGGCGCCTCCCCGGGGGACCCTGCTTCATCAGCCGTGTGGACTTGGTGTAATCTGTACTTTCTTCCTGTTCTCGCCCTCCTCTCCCTGCATCTTACAAACCTCAGATCGGACCACGGGGCGAGAAAGGTCAAAAGGGAGAACCTGCCATCATCGAACCAGTAAGACACTTTCTTATCGTCTCCCTGAAACCGGCGGGGTGGTGGGTCGAAGCTTGGGGCACGTGGCGGGTTAGGTAGGATGCGGCTGGACCTGCGGGACCCCTGCGCCTCTATGCCTGGGGTTACCACGAGGAGCTACGTGACCTCGTGGATGCCACATGCTGCTTTGAAAAGCGCCTGGGCAGGGGTGTGGCGGCCGGTCTGGAGCAGGGAGCGTTAGCCACGGACCCAGCTCTCCATGCGGGCTGTGCAGCCATGTGGCTGCAGCTGGTGGATCAGCGAAGCCTGGCTGTCAGCCACGCCGAGGGGATTTAATAAAACAGCTCTGCCCTGAAACTCCCACTGCGTGAAACTGCACTGTGCCAGGCTGGGGGCGAGTTAAACAAAATGACTGTTGAGAACGTCTTAACCTTGGGATCAGAGGGGGGGGGGGTCCCACGTGCACCTCGTGGGGCGGTGGGTGTTGGCGGGGGCCCCCCTCTGCGTTGGCATGTCCTCTGCCCTCAGGGAGCCGTGCCTGGCCGGGGAGCACCGGAGTCCACCCTGTGGCCTTTGGGCTGCCGAGGTCCAGGCGCTGAGTCGGGGCGGGCGAGGTGCCAGGTGATCAGCCGGGGGGGGAGGGGTGCCCTGCAGCTGCGCGTGGTGGGTATGGCATCATGGGCTAGCAGGCAGCTCTAAGAGTGGGGAGGGGCTGGCTGCCAGGGTCCACCCCTGCCACGTCCTCCAAGAGCCAGAGGGAGGAGGCCAGTGTCCTGCAGTCGACGGCTCATGAGGCTGGGGCCAGGCTCCAGCTTTCTCTACTGCCAGGACTTGGTTGCCCCACATGGAGGCTCCAGGACGCTGCCGATCTTGGGGCTTCCGGGACGGAGGACTGAGGTGACCCCCATCCTCCCATGGGACTGGGAAGGTTCTTTTGGAACCTCATCCCCCTTAGAGGCACCTGAAGCCCCGTGGCTGGGGCATCAGGACGGGGGACTAGATGACTGTCCTGCTCTGTGCTTTCTGCCCCGCCCCCCAGGCCTGTCCCAAGGATGGGCGCGTCTGCTCCCACTGGGCTGTGGCCACTGGGCACACACATCCTGTTCTCGGGCTGAGAACATTCCTTTCCCAGTGCTCGCCAAGGGTCCAAGGGAGTCAGGGCTTGTCGGGGGCCAAAAGATGGGGATGCAGAGGAAGTGGGCAGAGGGGCCGAAGGGGGACACCAGCACCAGGTGGCCCCTTGCTCGGCGACATGTACAATCCTCACACCAAGTCCAGACTCAGGAAGGAAGGCGACCCTCGGGGAAGAGCAGTGCGGCCAGTGGTGCCGCCTCAAGACACGGGGCTGCCGGGGACCCGCTCCCGTCCTTGAGGGGCTGTGCCAGAAGGTGGACCACACCCAGCGTGACTTCCCTGTGGTCCAGCTGTGTGCAGACCACAGTCCAGATGGCCTTGGTCCCGGTGGACTTGCCGCCGACTCGGGTCCCTTCCGTGGTGTCCCCATCGCTTTGGTGAAAGGGGCATCTCGCCTGGGAAGAGGAGAACCCTCGGGCAGGCGGGGACCAGGCTCTGCGGAGTCCTGGGCAGGCGGGGACCAGGCTCTGCGGAGTCCTGGGTTTGGTCCTGGCTCTGGGAAGGCCTGGCCAGCACCTCGGTCAGGATGAGCTTCCTTTTCACACGTCCCCCAGACCGGGCTTCCCCTGTGTGAGAGCCATAGCATCCCAGGTCCAGGTGGAGGCGGGTGAGAGCTCGGGCAGGACCAGGCTCTGCGGAGTCCTGGGCAGGCGGGGACCAGGCTCTGTGGAGTCCTGGGTTTGGTCCTGGCTCTGGGAAGGCCTGGCCAGCACCTCGGTCAGGATGAGCTTCCTTTTCACACGTCCCCCAGACCGGGCTTCCCCTGTGTGAGAGCCATAGCATCCCAGGTCCAGGTGGAGGCGGGTGAGAGTGGATGAGGCGTCCAGTTGCCAGGCTCCACCAGGCTCCACCGGCGAGGGTGGGCCGGGGCAGCAGGCTGAGAAAATGGAAGCGGCCCAACACAGATAGCATAAATGTCTCCAGAAAATGCATTTCATCTTTGTTCGGGGAGAAATGAGCCATCTGGATGCAGTTAGGGAAGGATGACCTCCCCTCTGGCCCCAGCGTTTGCTCCCGCCCAGCCCCCAGCCTGTGCGGAGTATCCGAGGGGCCGAGGACGGTCTCCCTGGAGACATCATGGAAACTGTTGGAATTTCTCAACCTGGAGCATCACCAGATGTCCTCAAAGTCTTAGCTCCCTATAAACAGGTGGCCGAGTCCTGGACCACGGCCGACGTGGTCTGGCCTCAGCCGCGCAGGCGTCACGGCCCGTGAAGGTTGGGTGGCCGTTTCCTCTCCCCAGCCTGCCCCAGCGACCTCCTTCTGGGGAGCGTGGCTGACTGGTCCATGGGGCTCTGGGAACCAGCTCCTTCTCTTTGCATCCATCCATCCCAGGGACACAGGGGCTATCTCCCACTCAGACCTGGTACCCTGTGTCGTGGGTCAGCAACACCAGCGGCTCCTCGACAGGACAGGAGTCCCGCTGCCGAGCGGATTCAGGCCGATCAGATCTGGTGCTCCTGGCTGCCCTGGGACCTCAGGGAACCAGGCATCTCCAGATTCAATGTCCTGTATCATCTGGCGAAGGCCCGTAACAGGCATGCCTACCTTCCACTGTGGCTTAAGGAAGGTTTTCTCGGTCTGCGCTATGTAGCAGCTGAATGGACCCCCGTTAAGGATTGTTTCGAGTTCTCAGCTGAGGCTGAGACCTTCCACCCTGGTAGGGTGTGGAGCGGGGCCAGTGAAGGAAGGCCGTGGCTTCCCATGTCTGGGGAGCACTTCTCGTTGGGGTGGTGGCCAGGGGTCCATCCCTTCACTGTACCTGGGAGAGCGCCGGCACCCCTCCACTGGGCTCATCCATCCAGCGGCCTCCGGCCCTTGCCGGGCCGACCTGGAATGATCCTCCCGTGAGGGCCCACCCACCGTGGTCCCCACTCCCTGAGAACAGCGGTTGTGTGTCCGGGAAGACAGCTGCGGTCCTGCAGGGTCCGTGGCAGCCAGGGGTCTCTCTCTTAAGCCTATAGCTCAGTTCTGAGCTTCCTTAGCTGCCTTGTCAGAGGAGGAGACAGGAAAGTGGGACTGATGAGGCCGTTTGGATGAACTCTCTGTGTACATCTCGTGTACAAACATTTCTCTGAGTGCACGTCTGTGTAAACACCGGGCGCATCTTCCCAGCGACTGGGGAGCCCTGGTCGGGAGGATCAGGGGCTTGGAGGGGACCTGCAGCCCCTGGCCTGGGTGCCCCCCACTGGGGGGCTGTCTGACACCTGTGCTGACCTGGTGCCTGTCCTGGGCACACCCTCTTACTCCTAGGAGGCAATTCCAGGTTTCACAAGAGGACTGTTCACTTTCAAAGAAAAACCCAAGGCGCAATAGCATTGATCAGCCCCAGAGAGAAGCAACCCGAGCCTGCTTTGTTCCGGGGAAACAGGAGGCAGGTCTGCCACCGGGGGCCAAGTGTGTCCAGCCCTCTCACCGCTGTCTCAGCCATCACAGGAATTCATTGGGAGGAGGGGTCCACGGCAGCCAGGCGCCCCGCGTGAGGCTGCAGCCTGCCCAGCCGGGCCGGACGGAACCCACCAGATCCCAGGACCCCCAGAAATGATCCACCACGGTGTTCTCAGCATGCAGACCCTCGCAGGGGCCAGAGGTCCTTCCCTCCCTGGAAGGCCATGTGTTGCCTCTGACTCTGAAGTGGGCATGGAATACAGAGGACGCTGACCTTGGTGTTGACCGGACAGGGATAGAGAGGAGGCCCGCGCTGGGAAGGTAGCTGAAGCCGAGGCCCGAGGGCAGGAGACGCCGGGCCGGGAGCTCTGTCCGCAGAGATCCGAAGCCTGCTCTCCCCTCCGCTGCCCATGCCGACTCTAGGGCCCAGGCTGACAGCGGGGCAGGAGGCCTTGTCCCCATTTGGGGGGAAAGACAGTGAGGCCCGGGTGCCAGAGGCAGCATGAACCTCAGCTCAGCCGGGTGAGGGGCTAGAGGAGGAGGGCAGCTCAGTGCCCAGTGGACTTGGCTGTGTTTCCCAGGTGGAGGGAAGAGGGGGCTGGAGACCCCAGCGTGGCTGCTCTAGCAGTTGGGCCTAACGGTTCTCTAGGCGGGGACCTCAGCCTGTGGTGCCCTTTCCTCCTGTCCTCCCTGAAACCACCAGCTGGTTGTCTCTCCACCCTCCCTGGGCCCTGGTCCTGGGGTCCACTGCTCCCTCAGGCCGCCGTCACCAGGGCCTGCCTGGGCACTGCCCCCCTGGGCACAGGAAGGCCAGAGGTGTGGCCGGGGAGTCCTGGTTCCTCCTCTCTCCTCTGGAAGCTGTTCTTGAGGGAAGCCTGTTGGTTGCTGTCTGGCTTGTGGCTGCCCTGGAAACGCTCAAAGGACGGTCGCCGTGGCCCCCATTCCAGAGGCTGCTGCTCGGGACCCCTCCCAGGACGGAGGGTGCAGACCCAGAGACCCGAGACGGTGGCCCTCTGGTCCACCCAGCATGGAGGGCTTCCTCCGGACTGGGGTCTGCTAGGGACCGGTCCCACTCGGGGTCTGGGGATGGAGGGAAGGGGTCCTGGGGTCTCAGACGCTCTCCCTGTCTCTTTCAGGGCATGCTCCTGGAGGGGCCACCCGGCCCCGAAGGCCCCGCGGTGAGTGTCCCATTTTATTTCCCGTGACTTGTGGGAGGTGCTCGGGGGTGGAGGGAGACCCCTTAAAGCTCCCAGATGGAAAAGAGGGGTAAACACCCTGGGACCGGCACTTTCTCGAACCCTCTCCTGGCAAGGTCGAGAACCGCCCTGTGGCTGCATCTTTAACTCTGCCTGATTTTATTTTTAATTCTAGGGTCTCCCAGGACCTCCAGGAACGATGGGTCCCACTGGCCAAGTGGGTGACCCTGGAGAAAGGGTAAGGGCGGCTCAGTCCCCTCGGATCACGGGCTCTGTGGCCTCGTCCAGGCGTCCTCCCTGCTCGGGGAGCGGCCTTGACCTCACCTGTGGGGGTGACCGCCGTACACTGACGTCTTTCCCCAAATTGCCCTGTCCCCTCGCATCTCACGCCACCCCTTAATGCGTCCCCTCTCTTCAGATGTTTAGGGGGCCAACTGTTGCCTGGCCCTGAGCTGGAGGCAGGAGACCCCTGCAAGAGTGAGCCTCAGCCAGGCTCTGGGTCCCCTGGCGGGTTCCAGGGGCCAGCTCACAGTGGCGGCCCTGCGTTAGGGTAGCAATAACAGGTAGCTGCGGTGGCCAAAGAGCTCTGGTGCTGCCTGGGCATCCCACAGGATCCGAATTATCCTCCTTCAATACAAGAACGTCATTGGCCTTAAGACCCCCTCGCTCCAGCTTCCTTGTTGGAAATCTAGCAACAGACACAGAAAACTTGCTCTGGGTCAGAGAGACCATCTTGGGGTCACCCTAGCCAAAGGGACCATCCTGGGGTCACCCTGACCAAAGGGATACATCCTGTGGTCGCCCTGGTCAAAGGGACCATCCTGGGGTCTCCCTGGGCAAAGGGACACATCTGGGGGTCACACTGGTCAAAGGGACCATCCCCGGGTCGCCCTGGGTGGCTGCCGGAGAGACGCAGGCTGAGCCCAGTTCGCGACAGTTTCGTTCTGACTCCTAGTGGGCGTTTGGGGGTACTGCTGCCCTGTGGGTTCTCGACCAGCTTGACGTTTTTTTCTTTTTGTTTTTCCTGATGGTCTAATGAACATCGATGAGAGCACAGTCAGACTGAGAGCTATAATTGGGTGTAGTTGTAGGTGAGAGACACTGGGGGGCGTGTGTGCCTCCTAACAGACCTTCATCCCCAGCGCCTGGCACACTGCCCAGAGCAAAGACCTCACGGTTTTGGGGTGGACAGTGCCTGGGTCTGGTCCTGAGGAAAGGCGGCTGGTGTCTGCTTCCAAGGGGGCGTTTGGCTCTCAGGTGCTGGGGGCTTTGGGGTGATGCTCAGGGAGACGTGAGGTGATGCCCGCAGACAGAGCAGGTGGCTGCGTGACCTCTGAGGGCAGCCGGATCAGACTGGGCACCAGTCTCCTCCATGTTGCTTCCCTGTGGCCAGTGGCTTTGGGGGCAGAGTAGGTGGGCCTTGCTCCGTGGCTGGCCTGTGATCTGCTTGGCCTTCCCATACTTGCCATGCCGCTCCTGCCTCTGCCACAGTTGAAATTCCAGACAAGCAGGCGAGGGGCCTGTCCTCTCTCCACCCCTGAACCCACGCCAGTCAGGTTCTGCCCCAGGGGCTGCAGTCTCTAACCCAGCTCACTCCAAAGGTCTGGGAGTGGATGGAGGGGTGACAGCCGTGTCCCCCCACAGAGCCATCCTCAGATGGACCCAGGGGTGCGACTGAGTCCAGACGTCAGTGAGGGAGGACGACCTGCCACAGCAGACGTCTTCTCTCTTAGACGTAGGGAAGGTCTCCGTCCACAGGGGGCACAGATACTGACTGACATCTCCCGTCAGCCTCAGTGTTGCTCCAAGTGTCTGTCCGTCTGTCCGTCCAGCACAGATATTCACTGAGTGTCCACAGTGCTGGGCACTGGTCTAGCACTGAGGATCTAAATGCTCACGAACCAGAGGGACACTCCTCCCCGCTTGGTCCCTGCCTCTGGACTGAACCTGGGTCAGGGCCAGAGGCAGCGATCCTGCTGGTGCTTTGTGTGCTGAGACCTGAGAGTTGGAAGAGCCACGGCGCCTCACGGTGGAATCCCGGTGCTTTTAGAGCTGGTCTCTCTTAAGTTCAAGTTAGGGTCCAGGAGAAAGGGACTGGGGTTAGGGAGGCAGAGGAATCACCTGCTCTAGAGCCTGCTGCCCCTGGAATTGGAGGGGAAACCTGCGGCCCATTGACCTTTCCAGGGCTCTTCCCAGGGAGAGGGGCTGATTCCAGGAGCTGAGCACTGCTTGCCCTCTAGGCCCTGCCTAACCAGCTTGTCCAGGAACTGTCCCTGCTCACAGCTCAGCATCCTCGCCATGCCCAGATCTCCTGCTTGTCTGCTGATTAGCTGTGAAAGAACATTGGATGCAGAGTCAGGATCCTGGAGTGCCACTTGCTGGCAGCATGACCTCAGAATTCATGTGTAGGAGAGGAAAAAACTTTACGCTCTTAGGTTTTGTCAGTGGGACCTGCAAATTAAACTGACCAAAGACATTAACAGGAGAAAAGGCAAATGAGTTTATTCATATTTTTAATTTTACATGAGGCTTCGTGAAAAAGATGAAGAAACTCAGAGAAATGGTTAGACTTGGGAACTCATATACCATTTTACCAGAAAGCAATAAACTATGGAGAAGTGACTGCGAAATACATGGGGGAAACTAGTGGAAGATAAGGCTTGTTTCGGTAAGGTCTGTTTCTGCAGACTCGTCTGAGTGGCCCTTTCCTGCGGGGGGTGTCTCCCTCCCTGCAGGATCGGGATGCACTTGATACCCTCGGGGCCAGGGAGCAGCAGGGTCAGTGACTCTGTATCATGTCCACACAGCCCGGTAATGACGCTGCCACGGGCACAGCTTCTCCAGCCCCTTCTCCCGGTTGTTGAGACCTCAACCCCTCCCTCCCACCCCTGCAGGTTTCAAGGGTTGGGCATCCTTTCGGGATTTTGCTTGAGGGTCTTTTCTGCCCTTTAAAAGGCTTTTGTAAGAACCGCCGTTATTACACGCACGGAAAGCGTGATTCACAGGTGCCTGCATTGCTCCCCAGGGCCAGCTGGGACGATGCCCAGCTATGTCACCACCTCCCCCCGCGGCTGGCTGGATTTACACTCGGGGCCAGGGGAATGGTCACAGGCTGGGTCCCTGCAACTCGGCTGAGAGGCAGAGTCCACTGAGGCCCATAGGAAGCTTTTAGCTTCGCAAAGGCCGTGGTGAGTGACCGCTGATGCCCGCAAGGCAAGGTTGTCCGACCATCTCCTGCCTTCTGGGGGCAGGACAGGCGGCTCCGCCTTCCAGTGCCCCTGTGTGTGCCCAGGACATCTTTTGTGGGGCCATCCAACCTGGGACACCTGGTTACTCACCTGTTCCACACAGCCAGGTATCTCTGTGATGTCCTGGCCACAAGCCACGGTAACACGGGCCTTCCCTGCGTGTGTTGGGGCCACGTCCTCTCTGTGACCTGGTCGTCCCCCCTCCGGTGCTATCAATGAGGCAACACTAGGATTGAGCCAGGGCCACCTGAGTCGTCTTGTTAACCTCTTGAACCCCCTAGAAGCCAGAAAGACCCTTTTTCATATTAGGGAGCACATTGCGGGGGCGGGGGGGAACCTTTTGAGCCGCGACAAGGCTGAAAGTATCGATAGGAACACCTCAGCGCCTCCCTCCAGGCCTGTCGGGCTTCCCGGGCTCAGACGACCTCAGTGAGCTCCGCTGGGACTTCCGGGCCCCCTCCTGCTGCAGGGCCAGCTGAGGCTCCTGGTGGGGTGGGAGCGTGCTTGGTGCCAGTTTCCCCCAGGGCTCTGGCCCCGGCCGCAGGTGTAGCCAGGTTTCAGATCTAGAGCAGGCGCTGACCCCTAAGAACTTCTCTGGCCTCTCCCAAGCTGTAATTGCACAGGAGCTGACCTGAAAAAAGAGCAAACCACTGATACTGAGGACCTGAGGATTGGTGCATGTTCCTTTCCTTTTCTGGGTCTTTCTAAGAGCAAAAGCAAAAATAGCTCAGCATAAAGACGCCCCTGGTCTTTGCAGCTCCCTCCCCGATCCTGCTGCTTTTGTTATGAGAAGCAGCTTGGCTTTGCAGCTGGTCCTGAGCCCCGGGCTCCTGGGTTCAGCCTGGGGTCTGGGTCTACAGCCGCTTTCAGAGGGTCTGAGCTCTCTGTCCCCTCATCTCCGTGCCAGAGTGATGCCAGGACCGCCTCAGGAAAACCCACTGTTAACCGTGGAAGGGGTGCCTTGTTGCTTTACCTGGTCTATGTGTGACCAGCCCTGCGGTGCCAGTGCGTTGAAACATTTCCGTTTGACCAACTTAGGCCACTGATCAGAAAACACACAAAGGCCAGGTGACTTTTCTTATTTCGCCTTGAGCCTGGTGTCTGGAGCATGCCCCGTGTCTGACAGGCCGTGGACGGAGTGGGCCACGTCATTAGCCTGCGTTCAGTGTCCTGAAGGGTGGGAAGGCGGCTGTAATGTAGCCCCATCTTTTGGCTCAGGGGACAAAGTCTTTGAGTTACAGACCTCAGTGCTTGGCAAAGGTTGGCTGACGATTTTTTCAAGCCGTGGTAAATACAGGTGCGGGCGAGGGGACACGCGGGACTCACATCAGATTTTGAAGTGTCAGAAGGATTCACGGGGTGGTTTTCTCCCACGGACCTCTCTTTCTCACAGGGTTTCCAGATTTTCCTTGTCCATCTATGCATACGCTCTTGGGAATCACTCTGGGTGTAATTGAAGCATGCCAGCGTGAGGGTGAAATAGCTTTTGGGCACCTGAGGTTGAATTTTCACCCTCCACGGCTTAGAAAGAGCAGGAAGAGGGTCTTTGAAAGTGGAAACAGTGGATGAGGGGCCGCCCCAGTATGCTTCCTGGTTTCCAGTGTTACACACACACACACACACACACACACACACACACACACACACACACACACACGCACGCGCTCTCCACGTGGACACCCCATGGATGGTATCTTGTCCCTGAGAGACACGGACCCTAAGCTTTGAATTGGGGGTTTGATTTGGGATCGACTCAGCAGCAGAAAGCTCAGCTGTGAACAGCTGTCAGCATTGGATTTCCAGGAGGAAATCTGGGTGGCAAAACACGTTCTGGAGTTTTCTTTTTTCAGCAGGTTTTATTTTCTGAGAATTTTTTTTTTTTTCTGAAATGGCAGGCAAGGACCATTTGGCTGTATCCATTAGCAAAAAGGGGGACGGGAATCCTTTGACCCAGCAGTTCTGCTTCTGAGGACCTACCTAAGAAAGATGCCTGGGAATTCCCCGGTGGTCCAGTGGCTAGGACTCGGTGCTCTCACTGCCACGAGCCCAGGTTCGATCCCTGGTCGGGGAACTAAATCCCGCATGCCGCGCAGCGTGGCCAGGAAAAAATTAAAAAGAAAGAAAGATGCCTGAAGACTCATCACGGCAGCCTGTGTCCTAATGAAAACTGGAAATGACCTAAACGTGCATCAGAGGGGGACGGATTAAATAAATGATGAGTCTGTGATGTGTGGCCATTAAAATGAATGAGGCCAAGCTCATAAATAGGCCACGATGTGCAGCAGAGGAAAAGGGCCAATTGCAGAACAATATGGACAAGATGATCTCGTGAAAAAGGAGGAAAACCACCTGCCTGGCCACGGACCCCTAGACTGACGGACGTGATACATGTCAGGTGTTCGGTGCCTGTGCTTCTGGCCTCTCTGGACATGTACAGGGTTTTAGCCCTACTTACATCGGGAGGAACGAGAGGGAACTTTCCCTTTTCCCTTTGTGTGAATCTGTGTTATACCACATTTCACAAGAACAGGGATCGGTCCTGGAGTAAACATAACCACTGAAGAGAAGACAGTGTTAGTTCCGGCCCAGGCAGGGCACACCCTTCTGGGTCATTCCGGGATGGACCCCCCGGGTGCTTTGGTCTTCTGGGCCGGGGAGTCAGTCTGTGTCTGAGCTGGGAGCATCGTGCTGTGGTGGTGTTTGCACACTCAGTTTGAGGGCTGGACCCAGCATCCCTCGCAGTGGGGCCGATGGTGGTCTCTTTCATTGAAGAAGACGAGCTAAGCTTCATCTGTCTGCAGACAGACCTCGTCCCCCGCAAGCCGGTTGGGAGTCTGCCTGCGTTGAAAAGCTGAGTGATAAAACGCTTTTTTGTCAATAAGCCGTATTATTCGTGTTGCCTTCACAGAAGCCTGACTTGGGCCAGAATCAACTAGAGACTCTGTTGGCGGGGGGCGGAGGCGTGGGGTGCTGTTAGGATGAGCTGGAGGGATGATGTTTGTGCAGAGGTGGGGCCCCGAAGTGCTTGAGAGCACCGTCCTCCCGGCGACTCCGGTCCTGCACATCAGTCCAGACAAGTGGATGCTTTACGTCTGGCCTCTGCTCCACCTGCACAGCCGAGGGCCCTCTGAGCAGCCAGCGCAGGTGTCCTTGGGCTGGCCAGCCCAGGTGGGACACCTGGCAGGGACGTTCCTGGGGTTATTCCTGTGGTCGTGGAAGCCCCAGCACCTCCCGCAGTGTGGCCTCTGCCCTCCACGCCCCGCCCGCATGGCAGGCTCCAGCCTTTGTGTCTCTGATTCCTCTGGATCCTATCCTCCTCAGCCCACAGCGAAGCCCCCTCCTCTGGGCTTGGGGTCTGCACATCCCTTTCCCGGGGTCCTGCGTTTCCTGCGGGCCCTGACTCCGCCCCGTCACCTCGTCCCAGCCCAGCTCCGCCCTGTGTGCTGACCCACTCTCCTGGCCCCTCTGTCCACAGGGTCCCCCTGGACGCCCAGGCCTTCCTGGGGCTGACGGGCTGCCCGGCCCTCCTGGAACCATGCTCATGCTGCCTGTGAGTGTCCTTACTTGAGGGCTGGGGGATGGCAGCCGTGTGGGTGGGCTCGGGGCCCCAGGTGCGACGGGGGAGTGGGGCCCTGGGCTGTTTCCGAGGGGGTTCGATCACTGGGCCGAAGACTAGCTCCAACCTGGGCCGACTGTCTTGTAGATACAGGCTCCTTGGGGCTGTTCTGCTGACACGGCAGGGTGGACACCGGGGTCAAGGGCTCCACCTCTGCCGGCGTCCAGGGCTGGCCCCTCCGAAGGGAACTGAGTCCAGCTCTGCGGGAAGCTGTGTGGTGTCTGCTTCCATCACCACGCACCTGCCCTCTCCATTCGGACCCCCGTGCCAGGCGGCCCCTCCAGGCGGCCCCTCCTTGAACTTGGCCTGCTCGTGACTTTGCGGGTCCTCACGGGGAGCCCAGGCCGGGAGGGCGAGCGTGATGGAGGGCTGGTCTGGGCCCATGTCAGTTTCTCCGTGAGCCCGTGTGCCCGGGAGGCTGGGTGCAGCTCGGGAGACCCTGCGTGGACCTGTCGCCTCCCTGCTGGGCCTCAGTGCGGGGTTTGCACTGGGCTCTGGGCTCTTCCTTTAAATAAGTCGGGGCTGTGGGGTCTCAGGTGAGATGCTGTAGGTGCCAGAAAGGGCTTCCCGGCTGCAGGGAGGCTCTCCGGGTGGCCCCAGGGCTGAAATTGGCCGGCGGGGCTGGAGCAGCTCTGTGCTGGCAGAGTCGGGTGGTGTGACCGAGACGGGGACTGGGGCTGGAAGCTGCCCATCCAGACTCTCCAAGGCTCTGCTGTTGCCAGAGAGGCCGACGGGCACCGCCTCAGCCCTGGGGTCCAGAGTGGGCACCACGTCGGTGTGCCCTTGGTGATCTCAGTCTTACACCTACAGTTCCGGTTCGGAGGGGGCGGCGATGCGGGCTCCAAAGGACCCATGGTCTCAGCCCAGGAGTCCCAAGCTCAAGCCATCCTCCAGCAGGCCCGGGTGAGTGGTACCTGGGGCCGGGGGGCTGGGGGGACAGAGCCTGGCCCCATGGGGCTCGGAGCCCAGCTTGGAGGGGAAGTGCCTCTGGCCAACTTGGGTGTGCTTTTGCCCAAGAGTCAGGAGCCTGCGGGGATCCAGTCATCCCTGTGCATTTGGGGGACCCGGGTGAGCACCAGGAAAGGTGGGGGGGGGTTTCTTAGGGGTTCCTTGCCCACACCGAGGCTCCTGGATGAGGACGGCTGCTGAGCCCCTCTGGCACCTGCTAACCCCGTGTGCCCAGCTTCAGCCGTCTGCTGCCCTCCCCTGGGCTCTGGGGATGGAGAGACACCCCATGTATTCCTGGAAGGGGCTCCCTGTGATGGGCTGGGCCGAGCCCGACGCCCCGGGGAGAGAGCCCATGGGCCCCAGAGTCCCTCGCTCAGCCTGGGGGTCCCGAGGAGCACTTGCCCCATTACTGCTCTGCTCTTGGCAAATGAGCTTGTTAGTGAATTGTGTTTTTAATTGACGAGGCTCCAGGTTGCTGACTGCCTGTGATGAGAGCAAATGCCACCCGGCGGGGTGGGTGACCCTTCAGTGGAGTGCCCGTAATGGGGCATTGCAATAAGCTGCTAAGTAGTCCCTTGTTTGGCAACATTTATGTAGCTCTGGCGCAGTGGATAGATGCTAATGGTCAGAACGTGTGGATAATGAATTACAGGGCGGTGGGTACTGAGTCATTGCTATGGAACAAATTGTCGTGTGATATAATCAGCGGGTAGCAAACCCCATCACACGCCACCGGATTTATTGACGGGTCGGCCTGGCTGGCCTTTGAATGTGAGTGTGTTTTGACTGAAGTCAAGTGGGCGACGGGCCCCCAAGAAGATTTTATAACACAAAATCTTCCAAAATTAAAATGGCATCATGCAGGGGAAACAGTCTCAGAGTGGCGTGGAGAAAGCCCTCTAAGAAAGGTTGAACTGTGTGGTGGCAGCTGGGAGGCGTGGAGCCACCTGGGCAGGTATCTAGGTGGGGCCCTGGGTGGCTGAGGCTCCCTGGCTGCCTCTCCTGGGCATGACTTAGTTCACCCTAGGAGGGCTCCCCGATACCTCCCCGGTCGCTGGCAGTGCCCCTCGTGGAACCCTAACCCAGCCCGGGAGCGGGCCTGCTTCTCAAGCTTACTCTGTGGGGTGCAGGGCTGAGGGCAGAGGCCCTGCCTGTGCGAGGCCAGCTGGGGAGTAGGAAGCAGTCAGCAAGAGGCTCTGAGCACCCACGTGGGTGGAGCGCCCATCCCCAAAGCGGGGAGTGGGCACCCACCTGGCTCCCACCCCACCTCTGCCGCTCCGTTTGTGGTTGTTGCCGGGAGCCCAGAGGATCGGAGAAAGTGGGTCTGGGGGTCCATGTGACCTCCTCCCCCAGAGGCTCCTGTCCTTGGCCTCTGATATCGGCCCCCCTTCCCACCTGGCTCGTCTCACCTGTCGGTACAGGTAAACCAGCCATTTCTCAGCGTGTCCCGTTTTCCCTTGCAGCTGGCGTTGAGGGGGCCGGCTGGCCCGATGGGTCTTACTGGGAGACCCGGCCCCATGGTAAGTAGTCATGGGGGAGCCTGGGGGAGTCTGGGGGTGGGGTGCCTTCCCTTCCCGCCGCCCCCCACCCCCCAGCCCATCAGGCTCCCAGCTTATCCAGGTCAGGGCACACTTTACATCTCTGGGACCTTGGGGCAGGAGGGGCCTGGGCAGGCAGGGCCTGTGGTGCCCTGGGGGCTGGGAAGCCCTCACACTTGCACTGGCTACGACTTTACCTCGTGACCCCGGGGACTCCAAGCCTCTTTCTTTTGAGGCTGCCATCCCTCTTTATAGTCGAGACCACCTCAGTGTGGGGCAGACCCCGATTCTAGCCCCCTGCCCGGCCCCTGCTGCACGAGCCTCAGGCAGCCAGGCGCACTCGGGGCAGTGAAGGGGGCCCCTGGGGGTGTGCATGGCCCTTGGAGCTTGCAAGGAGCCGGAGGATTGAAGCGCACGGTGCCCCCATCCCCATTCCCCGTGTGGGGTGGGCTTGGCCCCTGGCCCCAGGTCTGCGTCGGTGCCCTCCCAGCATCTGGGGATCTTGCCCTGCAATGGGCGAGGATGTCCACACACGGCCCTGGGCTACAGGCTGTGACAGACCGTGGTCACATCCATCCTAGAGAGAAGCGAGCGTGTTCTGAGCTCGTGGCCCTCGTGCGCGCCACTGTCCAGGATTTCCCTCAAACCTGGGAAGAGATGCAAACAAGGAAACGTTACTGCTTGTCCTTCGGGTTCTGTCCAAGGCAGCTGGCCGGGCTCCGTGGGAGCCCTGCCCACGGGCCAGTCCTGTGTCCCTTCTGCTTCCCGGCCCTTCCCCAGTCACCCCTACAGCCTGTACCTGCCGGGCATCCCCTAACCAGACGTGTCTCCCCAGGGCCCTCCCGGGAGCGGAGGTCTGAAGGGCGAGCCGGGAGACATGGGGCCTCAGGTACGTACCCCCCTCACCTTCCTCTGTCTGAAGGGGCAGCCCCCGGACGGCAGTGCTCCCGATGCCGCATTTCGTCAAAGCTGGATGCAGAACAGCAGTGGTGTCTGCAGCAGGGGACCGAGCTGGCTGTTTTCAGTCCCCGCCCTCACTCACGGCAGTGGGTCCTGCACCCTGTCCTGCTGTTGCCCACGTGCTGGCAGCTGGGACAGTAGCCACAGGCCAGGTGGACGAGCACGGGGACCAGGCTTTGCTTTTTCCCTCTGAAAAACAGACACGCTACTGACCTTTGTCCTCTGATTCCCGACAGGGTCCCCGCGGTTTGCAGGGCCCCCCCGGCCCGTCAGGAAAGCCTGGAAGAAGGGTGAGTAGTTCCCAGTGACAGCGGCTGGGCCACGGATGGGGCGGGAGCCTGCAGGGCGTTTGGCCCGGTCATGCCGCATCTTGCCGGCTAGGCTTGGCCCAGCTGCTCCCCTCCCTTCAGAGGGCATGTCTGTGTCCAAGGCTGGGTGGGCCCCGTTCCGCGGGGGCAGCGAGCTCCCCCGCCCCTGCCCCCAGCCTCCGTCCCGAGCATGTGAACGTAGTTTAACAAACATGTTTAACTAAAGCAATTTCCCAGGCTCTTTGGGAACAAGTACGGAAAAGACAAAATGATCAGTGGTCCTTTCTTTGGGGGCAGCCTCATTTCTCCAGAAACTAGCTTTGGTTTGGGAGAAATGGCCGGCCGGCTTCTCGGGCCCCCCGCACCTCACCTGTGCTCCTAGACTCCTGGATTCTCTGTTTGGGTTGTAATTTTAGTGGATGGAACTGCTTTGCTTCCGTACGACCGTGGCTACTGACAGAGAGCGTGCATTTATAACCTAATATAAATTAATGAACACCATCCAGTTGAGTTCGGGAAATCCTCATTAACCCGCATCACACTCTAACTAGTGGATCTTTTCATCAAGTGAATCTTTCTACCGAATGAAAAAATTACTCGTTCTTGTGTTGTATTTATACCTAGATGAACCCCTGCAAGGAATGGTGGGTCGCCACTGAGCTGCCAGTTCTTGCTTTAGCTGCAAAGTATACAAGGCAAAAATGAATAATTCCGTAGTGGTTACAGGGCCTCTGTCCTGGGAGTTAATTGTAGTTACAAGGCAAGGGATGGAGTGACCAGTACTCAGGCACGGCTGTCTCATGCTGGCCTCTCAAGGCTGCAGGTTCACAGATCGTGGAGGGGACCCGGGCACGAGGCAGAGGGGTGCACGGATGATTCTAAAAGGGCCACTGATGCCGGAATTCAGTGGTTCTTGGTAGACAGTGAGGTGGTTTATCTTGGATCTAGTTCTAAAAGGCATTTTATTTCTTTGAGGGTCTTTTGTATCTCTGTAAACACTTACTGTCAAGTTTCAGTGGAAACGGTTTCTCGGTCAGGGAGAGGTGAAAACTGAAAAGGGGAGGATGCCAGCGATGGTTCATAGGGTGACTCGTGGCAGAGACCACCGGCATCGGGGCCGTGGATACGCGTGTGCTGGAGGAATGTGGCTGGAGAGGAGGGGACGGCGGGAGGGGCTCAAGGCCGCATGGCGGGCTGTCCCTTTAGTTCTTTGTGCAGTGCGGAGCCCGTCAGCGTGAGAGAAGGGTCCGGCCGTTTGCCCGCAGTGTCCTGCAGTGCAATCCTGTCAACTCTTCTGACAGATTTCTCTTGATTTCTGAAAGCGTTTGGAAATTTGAGGAGAGGCTCCCGGTCGGCCCCTCTGTTCACGGGGTCATGTCTGCGTTCCGCCTGGAGCTGCGTTGCTCGGATGCATGTTCCGAGATGACTTTTCATCCCTGACGGTTCCTTGTAACCTTTCACCTGGGGTGCGCAGGCCGCCTCCTGGTGGTCCCCCCCAGACCCTCGCCGCTTTCGTGCTGCCCTCCCCGTCCTGGTCGTGCCGTTAGGCCTTGCTGCCCGTCGGCGCAGCCCCGGTGCCCCTGGCGAGGCCTCTTGGGTCAGGCACGTGTGGCCTGGAGAGGACGTGATGTTGATCCAGGCCGGCAATTTATGCTCAGCTGCCTGACGTCCCTTATCAGCGAGTGGACATCTGCCATGGTCCCCGCCCCCATCTAGGTGGCCTCATGCCTGGCAGGCTCTCCTGGGGGACTGCGGCCTTTATGGGGGACCCTGGTAGGTCGGGGCCCTGTCCTCCAGCCCCAGGTGGGCACCGTGGGCCTGCTGCCCCGGCTGAAAGGAATGGCCGTGGGAGTGGCCCCCGCGCACGGAGGGTCGAGCTCACCGTCCAGACCCTGCCTGGAGGCGGCTGCATGGCCTTCGAGTGCCAGCCCACCCCTCTGGGCCTCACTTTCCTCCCCCTCCATCACACTAACCACATGCTTTCTCTCACCCTGTGGCTCTCTGGGCTTTCCCTTGATGTCAGCTGGTGGACAGGACGTGTGCAGATGTCAGGGACGGGCTCTCTCCTGGGTTGTGAAGCGGGTCCCACGGACCCACACGGCCCCTCGGTCGCCACCCGTCACACTGTCTCGTGCATACCGCGTCCTCAGCAACACAGAGGGGCAAGTACGTTAGCCCCGCTCCAAGGTTCAGGATGGCGAGGCTCGGAAAGGCCAGAACCTGCGTACGGCAGCCGGGACTCCGGATTGGGGTCCTCTGGGCCAGCCTGCCCCCCGAGGCTGTGGAAACCTCCGCTTGGTGTCACAGGACGCCTCTGCTCAGAGGTCTCGGTAAGCCGGCCACTCCTGCATACTGACAGTTTGCCCCGCTCTGTTTCAGGGGCGAGCTGGCAGCGACGGAGCAAGAGGGATGCCTGGACAGACTGGCCCCAAGGTAGGTGCCGCCCACCGCCTCCTGGTGCCCGTTCCTCGGTCAGCGTCACCACGGCATCAGCACGTGCTTAAGTGACGGATATGGTTGTGATGACACGTGATGACTCGGACATTTGCTCTCATCCGGGGGTAGGACCTTGGGGGTTGGAAGGTTCAGTGTGGATCAGCTCCTCTGGCACGTTGACACAAAGACGGGGGCCGGTGGGGAGAATTTCATGGGTCTCTCACAAGTCCACGGGGCAGGAAGTCCTCTTGCCGAGATTTGGGGTGTCTGAGCTCTTAGGAGTTGCAGGGAGCGAGCAGACTGCGCGTGGGTGACCGTGGAGCTGGGGCGTGTGCGTGTGCCCCGGGGGCAGCCGCGGGAGCCCAGGGAAGCCCCACCCCTCACGGCTGCGGAGGTTCGGTGTGCCCATCCCTCTGTCCCCGAATCTGGGATGAAACTCCCGCTGTTCTTGGTCGACCCTTCCTTCTCGGCCCTGGAAGTGTTCTTCCAAAGCCTGTACAAGGTGCTGGAGGAAGTGCTGACTTTCTCCAGCGAGGAGCCCACAGTGGGGACAGCAGCTGTTCTCTGGGGTCCCCAAACCCACCACGGGGCACTGCACCTGCTCCCCTGGTGACTGGCGTGGATCGGCCCTCGGGTGCCCCTGTGGGTGCCGAGCGAACGAGCGGCCCTGGTTTTCAGGGACGTGCGGTGGCGGAGGAGGGCAAGGTTTCTGAATCTGTCCCGGTACCTTACGGCCTTCTTTCAACAACAAAAGTATTCAAGCCTGAGCTAGTCTTCTCCTGACTTCAATCCCACATGGCTTGCAACACCCATGAGGCGGGGAGCCGGACTCCAGGAGGCCACCTGGGTGGCAGAAGGAGGGCTGGCCGGGGAGCTGGGGTGCCCGAGGGTGGGCGGAGCTGGGCCATCCGCCAGATGGGTAGGCGCACCTGCTGTGTGCGGGCGGCACTCTGAGCCCCGAGGGTGTCGTGATAAGAGACACAGGCAGACAGCAGGTGCGCGCGCGCGCACACACACACACACACACACACACACACACACACACACAGAGACTTTGCAGCCATCACCCCAAACACTGAGGTCTCAGGACCCTCCAGGCCGCTGTCTGTGGCTCTGGGACAGAAGTCATCTCTCTGTTTGCAACCTTTGTTGGTGTTTTGGGGAAAAGCGTTGGGAATATGGACCCAAGGCTGTGGAATGTGTGATGGGGCGGTGGCCAGCGGCCCCACCGCGGGGTCCTGGGGCCCCGGGTGCACAGGCGCTGCGTAGACTGTGGCCCAAGGCAGGTGGAGCGGCCATGTGGCACGGGCTGAGCTGCCCTCTGTCCTCCTCGCAGGGTGACCGCGGCTTCGATGGCCTGGCTGGGCTACCGGGAGAGAAGGGCCACCGGGTGAGTGTTTCCTCTCTGAGAGCTGCTGGGGGAGGCGCTGTCGGGAGCTCTTCTGGGCAGCCTTAGGCTTCCTGGGGGGGGTTGGGCACTCGATTCCAAAGTGGTCGCTGGTGAGCCTCATGGGGCTGGGGCAGTGGACTTGGACGTGGGCATGACATCCCTGGGGATGGAAGGTCAGCCCAAGGAGAGCCGATTTCGCACTCGCAGCTGATGGCGAAAGAGCCAGTGGCCCCCTCGAGGGGATGAGGCAAGGAATGTGGAGCTCCTGTGGGAAACCCACTCTGTTAAGGGGCCCTCCACACCTTCAGGAAACCCAGGGGCTGCCCTTTTGGGACCCGAGGACCCTTCTCACCGTTAAAGGGGCGACTCCAGGAGGTGGGCTGGTCCCACGTGACCGCCCCGTGGATGGGGGTCGGGGTGCACGCTGCAGCCGGGGGCCTGCCTGTTATCTTGCCCCGTCCCACGTGTCCCCATGAGATGCTCTTTGCAGCCCTTAACCTGTTTTCTTTGATGTAGATGATGCCTCTTTCATGTTTTGGCATATCCTGGGCATGCAGGCACATGCATGTGTGCACGTGAACACGCACACGCACACACACACACACACACACACACACACACACACACGCGCGCGCTGCTGACTTTGTCATAAGGGTCACCCGTCATGTCTCTGCCGCCCTGAGAAGTGGCTCTTGCGCCTTAGCCAAACCTTCCTCACCCACGTTCTCCGACGCTCATGGGGAAACCGGAGGGAAGGGCCAGTCCGTGGGACTGACAGATGAGCACGTATTGAGCACCGATGGTGTGCAAGGCCTGAAGCTGCAGGGGTATCAGGTGGACCAGCGCTGACCTTCACAGTGCAGAGTGGTGGCCCTTTCAGGGGGCGGTGCAGGGCTGGGGTGTGCCCCTGCTTCACACGGAGAGGTCAGTAGGGTGCAGCTCAGACCCTGCCTCGGTGTCCTGGGGTGCCCTCCGGTCCCTGGGTGCCGGTCCAGCCAACCCTCCTCCAGGACACCGAGTCCCGGGTTGAGAGTCCTGCCAGCCAGCTTTGCAGCCTGTCACGCCAGGAGGCCCTGTCTCCAAAGGGGTCCTCTGTGACTCTGGGAAAGTCTTGGCAGGGGGTTGGGATTTTCAGTCTCAGAAGCAGAGAAAGACGAAATGGGGGGCTTGAGACAGCCGTGCGTGTCTGCCCGCGTGCCTAACGCTGACCCTGCTTTGGCTTCCCAGGGCGACCCTGGTCCTTCCGGCCCTCCGGGACCTCCAGGGGAAGACGGAGAAAGGGTACGTATCCTGCTGTGTGTGGGCCGCACCTGCTGCCCGTCTCCTCGGTGAAAACTGCACAAGATGCTGGCAGCAGTGAGCGGCACCTGCATCGGGGGGAGGGGAGTTGATGGGAGTGGACAGACAGCCACACAGGACTTCCTTCCCATAGAAGCAGATCTCAGACCTTGACGTTGGGGGAGCCGATAAGCTCCGTGTCTGAGTGAGGGGCGGCCAGAGGCAGCGAGTGGCAGAGCTTGGGATTTGGGGTGAGGAGTGAGGTGCAGAGAGTCCAGAAAATGACCTTCCTTGGCCCTGGAGGTGGGGGCAAGGTGACGGAAGCGTGTGGACAGAGCGAGGGGCGATGATGCCATCCAAGGTCGGGGCCTGGGCTAGGTCGGGCGCTCAGGTGGGCTCTGCCCCGAGTCCTGGTTCTGTCAGGTGCATCTTGGTGGGGCTGCAGACTAAGCGATGTCTTTAGACGGAAGCACAGCCCTCCTGTGGCAGAGAAGCCTGCGGCCCCTCTCCCTCCGTGCGCCCCAGTCACTTAGACAGTTTCTTCGGGCGTTAGGGGTATTTTGGGGACAGGTTTAGAAGCCCCAGCGCCTGAGAAAGAGGAGCAGGCCTGTCCTGACAGCTCCTGGGCTGGCATCATCCGGGCACTGTCTCCTGTTGGGGCCTCAGCCTGCACGGTCCACTGTAAGATGAGAGAGGGGAGAGGGGTCCCCTAGATGTCTGTGCTTCTGGAAGGAGGAGGTGCATGCAGGTGCACGCGCGTGCACGCATGTGTGTGCGCGCATGCGTGTGCAGGGCTGTGTGTGTACATATGCACTGTGAGTGGGTATGTGTGCGTGCATTTGCAGTGTGTCTGTGTGCATGTGGGTGTGTGTGTCTGTGTGCATGTGGGTGTGTGTGTGCATGTGTGTGGTGAAGGAAGGAGGAGGGGGCAGTGCCTTGATGGAGAGAAGCGGGGTGTGAACAAGCAGCTCCTGGTCGTGAACCAGGCAAGCTAAGGCAGCTTTCCTTGTAGAGCCAGAAGGAAAAGACTCATCCTGGTTTGCTCCCCTGGCTGTGTTTAAGACATTAGGGCCCCTTGGGGTTGGCCCAGGGCATCTGGTGATTCTCTCAGGATCCTTCCCTACACCCGGTTTCTATCATTCACGTCTCTATCTACCTATCACCTATCTATCTATCATCTATCTATATCTGTTTATCTCTATCATCTGTATATCTATGATCTACCTACCTATTATCTATTTCTCAAGCTACCTATCTATCCTCTATTTATTTATTACCTATATATCATCTGTCTCTCTGTTTTGCTGTCTTTCTACCTATCTACCATCTATCTCTGTCTAGTTTCTGCCATTCTATCTTTTGTCTGTATCTTTACCTGTCAGGTAACCATTGATGTTTTTCTGCCCGGCTTTCCCCTCATTGGGGCTGTGGTTTGTGAGCCCCAAACCTCTCCTTTTACCTGCAGCCTTTGGGAGTGGGGACACTCCGGGCTTTTCCTGCTGGCACAGGGACTAGTAACTGGCATATGCTGAAGCAGCCCCAGGCCAAAGAATCCTGCACGGATGAAGGAAAAATTGTCTCTCTCGTGTCCAGGTTTTATGGCTTATCCCTAAAATCCTGCCTCTTTTCTCCCCCATAGGGTGACGATGGAGAAGTCGGGCCCAGAGGGCTGCCCGGGGAGCCTGTAAGTCCACTGACTGGGTGGGATTCTGTGTCTCCTCCTTGATGCTCTGGCCAGAATCAGGGATCGACCCAGAGCATAGATTAGGGAGGGGCTCAGCCTTGAGACACAAATCTGGGGATCTCCCGGGAAAGGAACGGGTGAGGTGGGCGGACAGTGCTAAGGAGTCAGCCTGAGCCTTTGCCAGGGAGGAAGCCCCGGCCCCTGAAGGTCGTGGTTGGGACTCCAGGTACAGACGTGGTGGGTGTCCTGGGTCCATGATGGTGGGTGTCCTGGATCTATGATGGTGGGTGCCCAGGGTCCACCATGTTGGGTGTCCAGCGTCCATGATGGTGGGTGTCCTGGGTCCATCAGGGTAGGTGTCCAGGGGCAGTCACTTGACCTGCCACACTTTCTGATGGCTACGTTTTCCAAATAAAGAGTCCTCCAGTAGGGGGCGCCCCTCCCTGGGCCTTCTGACTTCTATTTAAGACCAGAGCGGATTTCCTCAGTGACAAAAGGACATTAATTCCTTTTCACTTACTGTTACTTTTCAAACATCTCACTTCTGTTACCCATGTCAACGTGGCCATACACATCTGGGGACGTTAACTGAGGAGAGACATTGCAGGCGCTGCATGGAGGACAGCCTGCCCGGGGTCGGCGTTTGCACCTCCGCTTGGGACTAAATTACTCCCTAGGGGTCTGGTTAGCCAAAATGGGGATTCATCAACACAGCTCCCGCCTTAACACGGGTCTAGGCGATACCTTCTGGGTTATCAACTTCTGAAAAACATTTATCTGACTAGGTATTAAAAGAAGGAAGGGAACATCTAAGCGACAATGAACGTGGGAAGCGTTTCTCTTCTAGTGCATCTGAGAAGGTTCTATCAAAATTAAAGGCACTCGAAATCGCGGTGCCTTGAAAGGCTCTAGTTCTCCAGCTGACAGGGAGGGAGGGAGCCGCCCGGATGTGGGTCCTTCCCATGGCAGGTAGTGGCCGCTCTGGGGCCCCTCCCGCTGTGCGTGGGGCTGTTCCCACACACATGCCCCTCCCGGCCAGGGAGGGGGTACTGAGCCCCTATCAGTTCTAGCCGCCCCTGCCTCTGGTTCCGAGAGCCCAGGTGGAGAGCTGGGGTGCGGTGAGGAGTTGAAGCAAAGGAGAAGGGGGAGTTGAGTTGCCCACACTCCCCGGGAGACCTGCCTCAGCAGCAGAGGCTCTGGGAAGAGGGGTCGCTGAGGGAGGCTGGGGACAGGGCCGGGGGCCG